CCGAAAAAACAGTGAAAACGAGCGAAAAAACTTTAAAAGTTTGAATTCGCGCGCTTTTTCTCACCGGGCGGTCTAGAAAAAACCTCGTCCCTAAGGGCTTTCAGCGTATTTTTCGATGCGTTTTTCTCGATGAAAGAATTTTTTTTGAATTTTTTCTTTATTTTTATGTCAATCTACATGCATTTCTGCACATTTTGATGCAATACAAAAATTTCACCGTACACCACCTTTTAAGCTTAAAAAACTATAACTCTTCAACAATGCCGGTCCTGCAAAGTATCATTTTGTAAAAGTTGATTTTCGATATAAAAGTTTTTAAAACAGTAATTTTTTAAAAGATTTGAAATCTCTGAAAATTTCAAGATATTTGATTTTTTGACCCTCCACCAAACACTGCGTTTTTGAAATTATTACCTCACAGGCTGAAAACCTAATTGAGCTTGTTTCCTACAAAAATTGCAGTACAGTTAAAGACAACTAGTATTCCCCCGGAAGCTTTTGCCTCTAGAAATCAAAATTAACAAAGCTCTAGCTTGCTTAGAGCTTTGAAACAAGCATAAGCATGGTCAAGTTCCTTTGAATGTGAAGTTTGTTCGAAATTTCATGGTGAGACCCAAAAAAGAGCATAGTTCTTCAAAACGGACCATTCTTATACTCATTTCAAAGCTCTTAACAGAACAAGTTCAATGAGGTTTATTTGAAAAATAAAGATTGGAAGTCTAAGATTCTACATCACAGTTTATAAAACGAATGACAAAAGTAACAAAATTGGAATATTTAGTTTGAAAAAATAATCACAGAAACTATTGATTTCTTAATGGCACATTCATCATTTTGTTGGTCTTTATTTCCAATTTTTTGATTTTTTGAAACAGTAAAGTTTTTTTTCCCAGATTTCTCAAAACATTGCTTTAGGAAATACCATAGTTGCAAAATTGGTTCAATATCTTGATTTCCAATACTCAGATTTTTTGAAACATAAAAATTTTTTTTTCGACATTTCAAAATGCGGAAGTTTTCAAGGTATTTCAATTTGAAAATAATTGGCCGCTGGCAAAACGATTACTTATTTTACTTTTTTAATTTCAGACGGTCCAGGTTCAAAATTAGTGACTCTTTAATGAATCGATGTTAAGTTGCAAAACATAGGTTTAACTGATTTATTTGCCTTAGATGGTATAATTTTTCAATAAAATTGTTTTTGTTATCTCTCACAAAATTCAATCTTTATTATTCCTTTTATCATCTAAATCTTTCGTTGTCATCTGGAAGATAATCTTATTTCACCCATCTGATTTTATATTTTAAAATTAAATTTTATATTTTATATCAATAAAATCATTATGATTACACCCTCCAAAACTCTGGTTTTCTGAAATTGAGTAATCTCAATCCACTGATTTCTTATCAAATTAAAAAAAAATCTTTAACTGTTTCTAAAAATCTTTTCACATTGGAAATCAATTTTTACAAGCTTATCAGATGCAAAATGCACATTGAACATAATTTTGAAAGGTTAACATTTTCGCAAATTTCAAGGAATGTATTTTTATTAAATCTTGAAATTTCAAAGTCAGAATTTGACTGTAAAAAATCGGCTGTGTCGCATCTGCCAATCATTTTGCTAATCTTAATTTAAGAATTTCAGATTTTTTGAAACAGTAAAAATTTTTCGAAATTATTTTAACAAAAGACTTTGGATCTACCCGGTTTGGAAAAAAAAACTTTTAACGTTTCAAAAAATCTGAATATTGGAAATCAAGATTTACAAAATGATTTGCATATGAGACAGGACAATAAGTTCTAAAGTCACAGACTGAAAACCTAATTGAGGACTCGGCGGATCATTTTGTAGAATTTGGTTTTCAAAATTCCAATTTTCTGAAACAGTAGAAATGTTTCAAAATTGCTTTAACACATTACTATTTGATCTCTCCGATTTGGAAAAAAAACTTTTTCTGTTTCAAAAAATCTGGTTATTACCGATTTAGAGATGATTCGCAATACATTTCTGAAAAATTAATTTTCTGCCACAGTTTCAAAGACATTGATTTTTTGAATCTTGAAGTTCAAAAATCATCATTTGTGAACAAAGGGATTACTGTGATTTCTGTGGTTATATTACTTTGAAGCTTAAAAACGTCTATCTGATCAATTTGTATATATTGGTTTCCAAAGTTTAGATTTTTTGAAACAGTAAAAGTTTTTCAAGGTTTCCTTAACAAGATATCTTTTCATATGTCCAGTTTTCTGTGTGTGTTTTCTGGAGTTTCCAAACATGTTGACTATCTCAAAGTGTCAAAATATTGAAATTTTCAGCATTTTGAAATTTGGAAAAAAACTTTTACTGTTTCAAAATGTCTTAAAATTGGAAATCAAAATTTACAAAATTACTCGCAAATAAGCCAGTTTTCCATTATTTTAATAAAAGATCAGTAAATTCTAGCCAGAAACAACTTCTATGTCATTATGATCGGATTCTCCGGAATATTGATTTTTTCAAATCGAAACAGTAAGAATCTTTTGGAACCGTTCTTGTCTGATTCTTTTTGAATATTCGAAACTTTGACATGTTCCAAATTCTGAAGTAGTTGTTAGATAATCTGAAATCAATTTTTTACTGTTTCAAAGAATCTCAATATTTGAAGTCAACATTCAAAAATGTTCAGAGGAAGACACATCCAGGGTTTTGAAAAATTCAAAAATTCGCAAAGGGAAAATTTAATTGAGCTAGTTTACTAAATATTTTGAAGTTTTTTTTTGTCAAATTGAAAACTTTCGAAACAAATCTGAAGAAATCTGAAAATTCTCAAAAAAAATTTCGAAAAAAATATTGGGCGTTCAACATCTTGAAAACATTTGTTTCCAATATTGTCATTTTTTGAAACATTCAATTTCTTTTTTTCAGATTTCATCACTGAACATTTAAAATTTTTTTTAATTCTAAATCTTTATTTTCCACTTTCCAAATCTAAATTACAGAAAAAGAATACACGAAAAATATCAAACTGTATTTTGTTAGAAAAACATTCGATAATTTTTACTTTTTCAGAAAATCTCAACATTAGAAACCTAGATTCACGGAATGATCCGCACAAGGGACACTGCGATTTTCAAATTCTAAAGTCACCGACTGAAAACCTAATTGAGCCAGTTTTCAACAGAAATTACTGTGTTCGAAGTCTGACTTTACAATTTCAAGATTTCAAAATATATGATTCTGAAAATCCACCAAAAACCATATTTTTCAAAAATGTTGTTTTGTGGAAAAATATTATTAATTTGGAAATCTTGGTTTCCAATATTACTCTTTTTTGAAACAGTAAAAATTTTCAGGATCTCAAAATGCTGAAAATTCCTTTTCTGTTTCTGAAAACATATGGCCACCGGCAAAAACCAAAAACCTGCAAATTCTGAAAAAAAAAGTTTCAATGAAAGGGTTCAATCGGTTTTTTTTTGCTTTAATTGGAAAAATGATCAATCGCGACATTATGATGATTCTCTCCAGATTTCTGATTTTCTGAAATTGGGACAGTGAAAGTTTAGGAATATTTTCTGCCAGCGTCCAATTATTCTTATGTATTCTTATAATGGCCAAATCCTTAAATTTTCCCTGTTCTGATTTCTGAAAAAAAAACTTTTACTGTTTCAAAAACTTTGAATATTGGCGATTGAAGATTTTCAAAACGATCTGTAGAAACGGCGCTGAATTTTGAATTTCGTGAGCTAATTTTCAACAGAAATTACAGTTTTTTTTTCTTAAAGGGGGGCATCCACTAATTCCAAAATTTTTGAGATTTTTATATCAATCGATTCAGAATTTTGGGTCGAGAAGAAAACTCTCTGGGAGGATAGTCTGAAAATCACTTGTTCTTAAGATATATGTCAAAATCAGGTCAAAAAAATCAACGTAGAGGGTGCAGATTAGAGTAACGTGTCGACACGATTGTCGATCGATTTTGAGTCAAAATGTCGTTTTGAAGGAGTCGACAAAAATCGTGTCGACCTTCACCAAGAGCGATATCGTGTCGACAAAAGTCGACAAATGTCGAGCCGAGTCGACACGACACCGGCCTAACTATATGGTGACCTAATTTTCTCAAAATGAATTTTCTAGGACGCGAAACTTTTTTTGCCTATAAATCATAGATGTCCGGAATGACTTTTATGAGTGACGGAATCCGGAATAAAATAATTTTCTCGGAATCCGGAACACGGACAAATGAAAATTTTACGGTATACGGAATCCGGAATCCGGAACGACAATAATTTTCCGGAATACGAAAAAAAAAAGAAAAAATTCACGGAATCCGGAGTCCGGAATACGGTATCCGGAACGAAAAAATTCTCGGGATCCGGAATACGGATTCCGAACTCCGGACATCTATGCAATAAATAGTATAATTTTCATCTTATGTGTTTTCAAGGTCATTTTAACATGGTGGCCTAACTTTTATAAGTTGAGTTTTCTAGGCCACAATGGTAAACGGCCTAGAAATCACACCGGGATAATGATAGACCATTTCTAGGTCATAACTTTAGTGGCCTAGAAAATTAAATTTGCAACAGTTAGGCCATCATAAAGTTAGGCCGGTGTCGTGTCGACTCGTCTCGACATTTGTCGACAGGAATTTTTCAGTTATTTTTTCTTTTTTCAGTTATTTTTTCTTTTAGTCGACACGAGTCTCTGTCGACACGTTACTCTAGTGCAGATTAGGGAGCTAGACAAGAGGCAGAATCCTTGAGGGTGCACGCAAAGAAATGAATAAAGACGTGAATTATTTTCCCTATTATTCTTCCTAATCTGCACCCTTTACGTTGATTTTTTCGACGTGTTTTTGATATACCGTAAAACCTCTAATAGAACGACACCTGGATCGTCCACTTTGAGCCTATATATCTCATTTTCTGTGAAAGATATCAAAAAGTGGCTAACTAGTAAAATGTTGCTGA